TTACATGGGCATACTATGCACAGCTTGTCACTGTCTCCATTGTTGCATTCTGAATTAGTTGAAGTTCCAGGTGGTTTTCAAGGGCAGCCCCATGAAGTGCACATTGCAGTCAAACCACAAGGTGACCAGGATGCAATAGCAATAGCACTTAGACTTAGATTTATAGGCCGCTTCATAGTACTTTACAGCCCTCTCTAAGCATTTTACAGAGTCAGCATACTACCCCGAACAATCTGGGTCCTCATTTTACTGACCTTGGAAGGATGGATGGCTGTCAACCTTGAACTGATGAGGATCAAACTACTGGCAGTCAGCAGAATTAGCCTGCAATACTGCATTCTAACCACTGCACCATCATGGCTCTTTTGAGAGTGCCGTGACAGTGCAAGTGACAGTCTGAAGGACTTTCTGATCTAGGAAAGGGGACAGCTGATGGACCAGTGCAAAGTCAAAAAGCCTTCCAGACTGCGCACCACTATTGAATGGGAAATGCTACTCAGTGACAGGAAGGATGTTAATGGCCATTTGCTCACAAAGCCATATCTACCCAACTTAATCACTTGTACAGACCACCAATATATTTTATAGCACAAGTCAAAATTTGCAATAGTGGTGAATAACTGTAGCTTGTGGGTTGCTTTCTAAACATTTCATTACCAGGCTAGGTAACATCTTCAGCAGAGTTTAGGGCAGTGGTGGCGAACCTATGGCACGGGTGCCAGAGGCGGCATTCAGAGCCCTCTCTGTGGGCACACGCACCGTCGCCCCTGTCCTAGGCCTTCAGCTGGGTTTTATAAAACCTTTTCGCTTTAGGCCTCCGCCACCATGTGCAAAAAAAAAAAGAAGGTTCAATCAGTCAATTTCAACTTCTCGCAGGAAAAAAAAGATCTTGCAAAGTTGGAATTGATTGATTGAACTTTTTAGTCCTACCCAGTCTGCCTTTATCACCGCAGCCACGCCCACCCAATTGGCCACACTCAGCCAATGGGCCACACCCACCCGGCACTCGACGATGCATAAGTGGGTTTTGGGTTGCAGTTTGGGCACTCAGTCTCTTAAAGGTTCGCCATCACTGGTTTAGGAGATGTCAGTGTCAGTGTTCTTCTGTTTATAAGGGCTTCAGATGTGGGTATGTTGAATGAGAATCTTGTGATGGGTCTTGTGATAGGTCAGGTGTGAGTCATCAGTGAGTCTTGTGATGGGTCTTGTGATGGATTGGTTATATCAGGTCAGGGTCATTGGGAGGTGAACTGCCGGTGGGAGGGCTTGTGTAGGTTAGTTGAGGGTCGGTGCTGTCTCTGGTTGGGTGTGCAGTTGATTTGGATTCTGAGGGGTTCATAGGCTGGTTGTAGATCAGTGTGTGTGTTAATGGAATTGCTTGTGGAGTGCCAGGCTTCAATGAACTCACAAGTGTGGTGGGTAGTAACCAATTATTTTTGTGTTGCTCCAATTGAACTGGTGCTGTTTGGTGTCAGTGTGGTGTGGGGAGAGATTAAGGATTTGGGATTGTGGCGTTTGACTGCCAGCCGGTGTTCATCGATCCTGGTTTTTAATTGATGTGATGTTTGTTCCACATAGAATTATTTGCAATGGTTACAGTTGCTTTTGTAGATTATATTGTTTCTTTCATCCTTCTGTATCTTGTCTTTGGTTCTGGATAATTCCTGGTGGAGGGTAGCTGTGGGTTTGTGAGCTATTGCTATTCCTAGGAGTTGGAGAATTCTGCTGTCATTTATGACACCCTTTTGAGTATGGTATGGTTAGTTTTTGCATGCTAGTTGGCTGTGTGGTGTGTTGTGGTTTGGGTGCTGTGAATCAGAATACAAAGTTTTTTGGATAGCCGTTATGAAGAAAGATGTCAAGCAGCGTTTCTCTTCTGCTTTTCTTAGTGTTGTGGTGCTGTGTGTCCTGGCCGTTCTGAAGAAGCTTCTTCTGTGTGCAGTGGGGTGGTTGCTTGTGAAGTTGAGGAGCTGGTCCATGTGTGGGAGTTTGCAGTAGACGCGGGTTTCCAGTTCTCCACTGTCTAGACTCCTTATGTCGATGCCGAGGAATGAGAGTCTGTTGTCTGTTTCCTCTTCATATGTGAATTTGATCCCAGGGAATATGTTATTGAGTAGGTGGTGTGCCAAATTTTGTGTTAAAAAAACAGAAAGTGGAAAGAAGCACCAACTCACCTTAAGCCTGATTTGCTCATAGATGACTATTGGCCTGTTGCTGAAGGTGATGGCATTGCAGAAACTTGCCTGTCGCTTGACCACTTTCTGAGTGGTGTCCATAATGATCTGTGACCCCTTGGTGTGAGGATGGAAAAGCAGTGGGCTGACAGAGAGAGTGCCACACTGTGAGATGGGTAGAGATTGCTTTTGCTTGTGGTGGCATCGATGAGAGGAAGCAGGAAAGGGCCCACCAATGGAATCTGAAACAAGAACAAGGAGAGAGTGAGCTGATCTTTAAATCAAACAAAAAGGAATCACTATTGGTAAAAACATTGAATGAAATCATTGCTTAGCTATGAGACTAATTTATAAAAAATGCAGTATAACATAAACTACAATATAATATAAATAACATAAATACCTACAATATAACCATACATATTTAAGTCAAGGGTCTATACAGCTTTGGTAGCTTGCAAAATGTTCTTTGGCGAAAGTGGCTTAATATCAGTAATTCAAAATAAATTTTGTAAAACAAATTCTAGATGAAACTATATATAGAAGGGAGAGAACAAGTGTACTGCATTTTCTGTATTTACTATATTTGACAGCAATTAGCCCCAGATTTTAACTAAATCTAGAAATCTTTAGAAAGCATATAGGAGTATATAGTAAAAATACAAAGTACATTGATGATGTTACCTAGCTGGGTAATAAAATGTATTCAGATAAACAACCAAGCTCAGAGAGCACCAAGGACTCCATAGTTCAATAAATGGATAGAATATATGGCTTGCCATGAACGCCTGAAAATAATACTAGGACAACCAAATACAATATGACATACAGGCAATCCCCGGATTAAGAACATTCAATTTACGGACAACTCATACTTACAAATGGGCTGCCTATTACTTAAAATGGCAGACAGTTGAATGTCAGTAAGATCTGGCTCAAAATGGTAAACAGTGTTCTCTTTCCTTGAACCAACAAATCCGCTGAAGCTATGCAATGTTTTCATGATGTAGTGCATGTGTTTTTAATATTATATAGCTTATTTTCAGTGGTTTTCAGTGGTTCATAAAACCATTGCACATTGATCTGAATTCTGGACACAGTAATAAATTTTAGGTCAGGCACTAAATACAGGAAATTACCATGGCAAATCAATCTGAAAGTAAATAGTATTGAATACTGACACCTAAGATTTGTTTCCCTTTCCTGTCCAGTAGTGTTGTGCAGATGAATAGAGATATGCTAAACCTTCAGTTTCCATTAGTGTAGAATGCTCACTGAGAATAAACAGAAATTGACATTACAAACACCAGCCATGTAAAAGGAGAATCTAGTTGTGAATATTTAATGACCATTGTTTATTTCCATGGTCTACAAATCAATGTGAATGTTGTTTGCTTTCCTTCAATAGGCCTCTCAAGTAGTGCAGACTTTAAAAAAATCATTCTGTTGCTAAATATAAACTAATCTTTTAGAAGAAAGAAATAAAAAATGCTGCTCATAGTATTTTTGGGATCTAGTTCTGGAATATTTTTTAAAGTGCCAGCGTTCTCTTCCAATTTAACTATATTGTAATGGAAAGCTTATCTCGAGCACATTTTACATGCACATTGCTGTATCTTGGAAGCGATCCTATTAAATTTCAACAAGATTATAAATCAGAATTTGGTTCAGAGCTGGAAAAGGTGGAAAAAGCCAGGAACAATAGGAAGATAGGGAATGATAAAGAACCTTAATAAAAATTCATAGAGAAATAGACAATACATAGCAATGGTACAGTGTATTAAATTTAAGAGCAGCTGTGAATTCTATTGGCAACAGTATCTACCAGAAAGAAATCATGAGGTCTTTTGGAAGTTGCATTGAATGCTGGATAATTTTTTAAGGCACAAAAATAAATAATACATTTATTAGTCACAATTATTCTGATCTGCTCACTAGTTCTTAGCATGGTCCTTACCATGCTATTCAAAGATGAAGCAGAACCAGGAAAAATATGTGCATGCTTCTGCTAATCTATTCATGAAGGAAAATACCACAATAGGACATACATTTATAAGTAAAAAACTAGAATCTTGAGTTTCTCAGAAGAAAAAGAAAGCAAAATGCAAAGGTTTATATTTGTGAGAAAATGGAACATCTGAAGCAATGAATTATTCCATAAATTATTTAAATGTAAAATAATCTAACTTGAGATAAACTTAAAGAAGTAATAAACAAGTCCCAAATGACAGAAAAGAAAAAAGAAAATTTTAAAGAGCAAGAAAACTTTCTTTTAAAGTTATTTATTTTCTATTTTAACATACATTCTAAGTTTCAATAAATCTTTTTTATTGCCCAAATCCAGGAAACAAGAAGGAACACACATTCTGGCAAAAACTATTAAGATTTGAAGGCAAGGGAAATTAGTATTTGGAATACTTACTCCTCAAAATATTATGTCGTGCAATAAATAAATATAATACATCAGGGTGCAGGAAACTTTGCAGAAAGTGAACTGACCACTAGAACATAAAACAGGAAAAAGTCTGTTGAGGGATACAGACTTGTAGGTCACCTACCTATTTATATATATGTTAATGTGTTTAGAGTAGTTTAAAATAATAATGAAGAAAGATTACTAAGAGCAAAAACCCCTTAACTGATATTTGCATTCTGCAGAAAAACAAAGGACTAATATCTGTGCTAAGAACATTCTGAGAGGAGACCTTGATTCATTCATAGCTTTCTAGTGTCAGAATAAATGGTATTCAGTGGGTCCAATGCTGTTTCAGGGAGGAACAGTGGAAGAGAATAAATGTTAGGTTTATGTTTTCTTTTAGCCGAAGAACATAGCTGAGGATGAAGAAGTTTAGAACTCTCCAGAGCCTTTTATTTTTTCCTTCAAAACAACTAATGCTGCTAAGAGCACATCTCCTAGATTAAATGATTCACCTGCCATGTCAAATTTTTCTTCTGAGGCTATAACTCTTTTTATCTTGGAGAGGAAAATTAGAAAAATTATATAGTCTCCTGGATTCTCTCCACTGCCCGAGGAGATTGAGGTTTTGCTCAAAAATAGATACTATAGGGTGTGTTCTAGGTTTAACTGCAGAATGAAAAAATATTTTTATTTATTTATTTGTATTCTACCTTCATTATTTTTACAAGTAAGTCAAGGCATCAAATTTATCTAACGCCCCTTCCTCCTCCAATTTTCCCCACAACAATAGCCTGGTGAGGTGAATTGGGCTGAGATAGAGTAACTGGCCCAAAGTCAACCAGTTGGCTTTCATGGCTAAGGCAGGACTTGAACTCAGAGTCTCCCAGTTTCTAACCTGGTGCCTTAACCACTAGACCAAACTAGCTCTCTACTTTAAAATAACTGAAATAGACATTTCATGTATATATAACCCTGTACACATACAGTATACACATACTGACATACAAATATATATATA